TGATTATGGGATTTATCCATAAACAAAATTCCCTAAGTTCTCAGAATCTGTTCATAGATGTATTTATGGATAAAATTTATCGAAAATAAAATTCCTGCTTTCTAGAGGAAGCCCTGAGTAGGTTTGAGACCCCAGTGGATCAGAAAAACAGGATTTTTCCAGAGCTGGGGCAGGATTAGATGGGATTTTGGGAGAAATTCCTTCCTCGGATGGAATTCCCAGAGGAGCACTCTGGGACAGTTCCCTGTGAGGGTGGAATGAGATGATTTTTAGGATCCTTTCCAACCCGAAACTTTGTGGGATTTTATGAAACAAATCCTGTGCGAATCCATCCTCTGCAAAAGGAAACTTTTTTGTCATTAAAAAAAAAATTGATTAATTTTGTGGGCGGCCCTATAACAAATCCCCTCTGCCCCCTCAATTCCAATCCCACTCCCATGGAAATAAAGCTCAGCCTTTTTAGGATCAGTTTTAATCCCAAAAACACCCGGGCTCAGGGAGCTGGGAGCTCTGTCAGGGAAGGAATTTGGGGTTTTCATCCAAAGCCACGATTGCGGGTGGAATTTGGGATTCCGACGTGCTGACAGCAGCGTTCCCCCGGAACGGCTCCTCCTCCTCCTCCCAAACCTGGGACGGCAAATGAATCACGGCAGAGGAATGGAGTTCACATGTGGCACCTACGGGAGGGCACGGAGAGGAGCTGCGGGGTGAATTCGGGATGGAAAATACCCACAAAGGTGCAAAAAAAAAAAACCTGAAGAGCCCTGAAAATGAATTTGGGGTGGAAAATACCCACGAAGGTGCAAAACAAACCCTGCAGAGCCCTGAAAAGTGAATCTGGGTGGAAAATAACCCTGGAGGCAGAAAAAAAACCCTGCAGAGCCCCAAAAATTAATCTGGGGTGGAAAATATCCCTGGAGGCACAAAAAAAAAAAAAACTCTGAAGAGCCCTAAAAGTGAATTCGGGCTGGAAAACACCCACGAAGGCACAAATTAGCCCTGCAGAGCCCTAAAAGTGAATCCTGACTGGAAAATATCCCCGGAGGCACAAAAAAAAACAACTCTGAAGAGCCCCAAAAGTGAATCCGGGCTGGAAAATTTCTGTGGATGAATGAATCAACCCTGCAGAGCCCTAAAAATGAATCTGGGGTGGAAAATACCCACGAAGGTGCAAAACAAACCCTGCAGAGCCCTAAAAATGAATCCTGACTGGAAAATATCCCTGGAGGCACAAAAAAAACCCCTGCAGAGCCCCAAAAGTGAATTTTGGGCTGGAAAATCTCTATGGAGGGAGAAATCAGCCCTGCAGAGCCCTGAAAGTGAATCTGGGCTGGAAAATTTCTGTGGATGTATGAATCAAACCCTGCAGAGCCCTAAAAATGAATCTGGGGTGGAAAATACCCACGAAGGCACAAATCAAACCCCGCAGAGCCCCAAAAGTGGATTCTGGCTGGAAAATACCCACAAAGGTACAAATCTATCCTGCAGAGCCCTAAAAGTGAATTCTGGGCTGGAAAATCTCTATGGAGGGAGAAATCAACCCTGCAGAGCCCTGAAAGTGAATTCTGGGCTGGAAAATATCCCTGGAAGCACAAAAAAACCTCTGAAGAGCCCTAAAAGTGAATCCTGGCTGTAAAATCTGGGCCGTGGCGAGCAGTTCCAGGACAGCTCCTGACAAAGGGATGGATTTTCTCCCGGGAGCTCTTTCCTGTCCAATGTGTGYGAACCGCTCGGGGTTACATCAGAGCCGAGGAATCCTCGCACTCACTCAGCCGCTCGGAAARGGAAAATCGCCCCGAGCTTTAAAGGGCCACGAGCGGCTGGGCAGGAGCGGGGAGGGAGCTCCGGGCAGGACCTGCCGAGTCCTGCAGAGACCACGGCTCGGCTCTTCTCAAATCTGAGCCCTTATCCACGGCTCGGCTCTTCTCAAATCTGAGCCTTTATCCACGGCTCGGCTCTTCTCAAATCTGAGCCCTTATCCACGGCTCGGCTCTTCTCAGAGCTCAGCCCTTCTCCAGAGCTCAGCCAAACTCAGATCTGAGCCCTTCTCAGAGCTCAGCTCTTCTCAGAGAGCAGCTCTTCTCCAGATCTGAGCCCTTATTCACGGCTCAGCTCTTCTCGGAGCTCAGCTTTTCTCCAGAGCTCAGCCTTTCTCAGCGCTCATCCCTTCTCAGAGCTCAGCCCTTCTCAAATCTCAGCCCTTCTCAGAGCTCAGCCTTTCTCAGAGCTCAGCCTTTCTCAGAGCTCATCCCTTCTCAGAGCTCAGCTCTTCTCAAATCTCAGCTCTTCTTCAGATCTCATCGCTTCTCCAGAGCTCAGCCCTCATCCACGGCTCAGCTCTTCTCAGATCTCAGCCCTTCTCAAATCTCATCCCTCCTCCAGAGCTCATCCCTTTTCTGGGACTCATCCTTTCTCCAGGCCCAGCCCTTCTCCAGGCTCATCCTTTCTCCAGGCTTGTCCCTTAACCAAATC